TTACAACATTCTACTTTCAGTTCTTCTCTTTAATTCAAGAATAACATTCTACTTATTGCATGTCAAATAGGGTTAAAGTTAAATGCAAGAAAGAACAAGGTACTTATGTTCAAACGATTTCTTTGTCTATGTGTATGTATATGTATTTTTCTTTGTGCTTGTCTATGTGTGGCTATTTGTGTGTAAAATAAAGAAAAGTCATCGAGGTTATACCAATGTACTTTCAAAGTACAATACTTATGTAAATTATATCATATGTATTTTCTGGTTGTCAGTTGTTGCATTAAAAAAATAATTTGTTATTATCTTAAACAATCATGGATGCATAAAAATATTACTAAAGGTGTGTGCATATGATCAATGTCTATGTTTTTATTATTATCTACGTTATTTTAATTTGTTAACAGTGTAGTACACGGGTTATAACCTAGTGTGTGTATATATATATATATATATATATATATATATATATATATATATATATATATATATATACCCCACTCAACCACTTCAAAAATCACAAGTTCTTTACAATTCCATTCCATCTATTATTGTCATGGGAAATACAAAAACATGTTCAGGGGGAATCGCTGTAGGCATCACGTAAACTTCAAATGGAAGGATTTGTAAGTGAAAGTTAACAATTTCAATTGCATCTACAACCAAATTTGAATAGTCGAGTGAGCGGAAGATTAACGCTTGATATTTTAAAGTCGAAAAAAAGTGAGTATCGCAAACTCTTTAAAATGAAAGTTCCACAATTGGTGACATGAGATATTCTAAAATTACAACCGAAATGGTTAACCGTCGAAGTAATGGGTGAGAATCTCCCTCCTCTATAAAAAAGGACCAAAACATCCGACTCTATCATATACACAACATCTTTAGACGCATGCAAAGACTACGAAAATGAAAGAAAGCGGCATCCACATCCTCACAATCTCTCAAAATAACAGAGCTCCTCACCGAAATAGGTGGTGTCGCATATAAAAACAAAGAAGATGCGAAAAGAAAGCAATACCAAGATGATAAATCACGTGACATGGAAATAACCTAGCAAAAGAAAGTGGAACTATTTGAGGAGGTGTTACAATTGATCAATGAAAAAAAGGAAAAGTACGGGTGTTGTTATTGGCACCTAAAACCACTTTTCATAAATCAAAACCACTATTATATGTAGTCAAAACCACTAAAAGATTAATAAATTTTCCAGCCAATGATTACTGAGTCTCAAAAACCCATTACGAGAAATTTTTTACAGCTTGAGTCCTTTAACTTATACTTTATTTTCTGTTTAAATCCTTATTCAAATTGAAATATATATATATATATATATATATATATATATATATATATATATATATATAAAAAATCATAATTTTAATTATATTAAACTAATTAGTAACAAACAATCCAGTAATAGTTTTAGGTTTAAATACATTTCAATAATATTTGTTATGAATTTTCTGTTTAAATCCCTATCAATTTTAAAATACTTTATTTTCAATCTTTGTCATATAAAAAATATATCATAGTAAACAAAGTTATTTCCAAGTTGAATACATATTAATATTAATCTTCTATTGTTTGATAGAAATAACAATTAAAGAAGCATGAGTCTTTAAGTTTAGAAGATCGGTCTCTCTTGGGTAAACTTTATTTTCATCTTTTGTGTTTGTTCATTGAGATACTAAAACGAAAGAATATAAATGATCATTGCCTTAGATTGAACGAAAAACCATTGTTCACGTTCGTTTATTTAGTTACATGAACAAAAATCATGTTTGAATTCATTCATTTATTAAATAAACAAAAAATAAATAATTTTTTTTGTCAAATTTGACTGTTTGGATATGCGCTCAATTTGTTTACCTTTAAATTTTTATAATAACACTAAATTTTAAAATACAAAATATTAAATGGCATTAATTAAAACTTTTTTATATATTAATAAATATTTTATTTGTATTTTATTTTAATATAAATTAAATAAAAATCATTGGAAATACATAATTATTAAGTTTATAAGAAAATATTTTAATTTAATGGTAAGGTTTAATAATAAAAATTATAAAATATAAAGGTTTAAGATAAAATTTTGATATATATTAGGGGGTTAATATGCAAATAAAACGTTTGAAAGCTTTGGGTTTTGTGCGACGGTCTCTTCACAACTTATTATTTTGACTTAGAACATGTGTTATGGGCCAAACGAGAAGCAACGGCGGATGATGTGGCACGCCTCAACGGCGTCGTGACGGGGGAACACCACCCCCCTATTCGTTTTTGCTCGTCGAGGTTGAATCTCGTGGCCGTCGCGACTGGATGAAACGCATAAAATTTAAACGTTTTCAAACGTTTAAATGGCAACGGTTTAAAAAAAAAAATTAACTATTAAAAAAAAACCATTACCCTATAAATACCTACCATTTTATAAAAAATTTCACACACTTTCTCTTCTCCTCTCTACATAGTTTCAATTATCTTCAAAAAAAAATATGGACCCTTTCGACTCGTCCGATGATTCAGATGACGATATTTTCTTCAGGATGATGTATCATTATTACACTACCGACCTGCTACAACCAGACCCAACCCCGCTACTAACAAGACGTGCGATGTTAAACAGAAATCGCGAGGAAGGACACGAACATCTATATCGAGATTACTTTGCGGATAATTGTGTATACGAGGCGAAGGACTTCAAAAGAAGATTCTGTTTGAGTAGGGATGTGTTCTTACGAATCGCCAACGCCTTGGAAAGTCGGTATCGCTTCTTTACTACATGTTTCTTTAATTTTACAACATATGCAATATATTTTTAAACTGTAGTTAATTTATGTTTAGGTATGATTTTTTTCAATTAAGATATGATGCTAGAGGTAGACGAGGGTTTACTATGTTATATTTAAAAAATATTTGTTGACCAAGTCCAATAGGACTAATATTTATTTATTATGTTATATTTAAATAATATTTGTCTAAATTAAAAAAAAAAATTCGAAAAAAAATAAAAAATAAATTAATAAATGGAAAAAAAAGTTGGTGTCATAACAAGATACAATATGGTGACCATTTCCCCACTTGGTGTTATAACACCATTGATGATGTGACACCAAAATAATGTTACATCTAGTTGCCCACACCTAGTGCTCTTATAGGCTTCGTAGGTGGTGCGCTTAGAATCCCCTAAAAGTATATGTGGTTGTTCCTTCAAGTGCATGATCAATTGACCATTGAATGGAGGATGTGAGTGCGGTGCTAGCTCGCAAACAACAAATTGGAGCGATTTATAATTGAGAGTTTGTATTTCATATTAGAATTTTAATTATCTTTTAGGAATTTAATTGTCATTTTATGAATTTAATTAATATTTGTAGTAGTTTACCTTTTTTTAATGAAATGTTATTTTTAGTTTTAATTTTATTTATTAGTTTTGCTAAGGCCATTTGCAATGCTTGTCACGAGCAACGCAACCACGAAGACCAACACGAAGCACGAACTGGTGGTGTACCAGTGACGAGCACGAACGGAAAGAGAGGAAGAAGAAGAGGGTCGGCTGAGAGAGGCAACTCCGTGGTCTTCCGTCTTCCCCACCACGAATCACCACGACCATGAAGGTCCGGGATGGTGTGCACGGACAACGCTCGTGGCCACATAGACCACGAGCCCCTTCGTTGCCGGTATACCAGACTGCCTAAGTGTTTTGTTTTAAAAAATTATTTATTGTGTGTTGGAAAGAATGCAAGACATGGAGTTTCAAGTGTTGTAAGTTGAAAATGTTGGAAAAGAAAAATAAAATGATGATGTACATTGCGAGAGGGACCCTAAGAATTTTCAGTTACTAACGAACTTGATGGAAATCCCCAACTTTCCGTTCATACTTGTTTAACTCGAGGAAAACATGACTATATCTTAAAAATCAAACAAAGATGGCAAAGAAAGTAATACTTTAGCTTGTCAATTACGTTAACTAATCATACTAATCAACGTACCACTAAAAATCCACGTAAACACAAGAAAAGCGTTTTCTTTTATATAAAAGTGTTTCGGTATAATTTTGTTCGTTGGAATATGCTTAAACAATATATTTAATGTACATATATATAAAACCTTTAATGAATTTAGTATTTAATTTATATATATATATATATATATATATATATATATATATATATATATATATATATATATAAAACCTTTAATGAATTTAGTGACTATTCACCAAAAGCTGAGAGTCCATCCATCTAGGCGATGTCTTATTTCGAGGGATCAAGTTTCATTCATCAATAAATTAAATTTTCTGTTTAGAAAACAATTAGTGACTATTCATATTAAACCCATAAACACTAGCTGAGATAAAAAAAAAAAAGAATCATAAAAATGATGTTTAGCATATATCTCGGTTAGAATTTTATTTACATTTAATTAAGCATATTATAAATTTCATAAATCGATTATATATAAAAACAATATATATAAGATCATATGATTGTTATCATAAACAAATTTTCCGCCATTAGAAACATAAGAAACAAGTTGCATCTTTTTTTACGAAACAAATAAATAAATCATTATATAATATAAAAATAATGTGTTATAAAAAAAAAGACCTCAAAACGCCTTGATAATTCATATTTTTAGTGAAAGTGATGATTTATTTTTTGGACAATTTTAATGAATCATCCCAATAAATAATTCTTCATTATTTTTTTATGGGATTTTATTTCCCGAATCATATATCTTATAATCATTTAATGATTCAATTTTTTGGTGCGTCAAAAGAACATGCACATGATTTATTTCTCATTTTCTGACGTAATTTTTATTTCTTATCGCATCCTAATCCTAATCCTAATCCATATATATATATATATATATATATATATATATATATATATTTATATATATATACACATTTACAAACCTAGCACCAACGATCAAGAAAGATACATAATTGCAGCAAGAAGTATAATCAATGATCAAGAATGGAAGCATGATCAATCTTTGAAGCAACCAATAGGATGATGGTGGTTATGATGGTATAGATGATTATGATCTTGATCAATCAATCCTTGAACATTACAGAAGTCTTTAACATGGCAAGGGATGGTAATGGGACCTTGATGCTGGAAACCATACTCCTCTTCAGCCTCCTTTAAGAGCTCCATGAACAATGGATGGTTCATGTACATAACTGGTATTACAAACCTCTTCTTCTCTTCACCTTTAAGTCCCACAATCACAGAGACACAACCTTTTGGTATGTTCATCTTATGATCATCTTTCTTCATCACATGATGATGATGATGATGATGATGATGATGATAGAGGCTCATGAATTGTTCTCCAGAACCCATGATCAATATTCACTACAAGAGAAAGGCCGATGATAAGAAGAAGATATTGCAAGTAAGAATAGAATTTTAACAAGATTCTGTCTAAGACTCGTTTATTTTTGGTTTCTTGGAATTGCGTGCATCATTTCAAGAATTAGAGGTGAGTGGGTATATATATACGGGGATAAGGGCAAAACTGTAATTATATTGTTAGGTTGGGGTGTGTCAGCCTCATATGATGTTTGACTTTAATTACACGCGAAGGAAAGAAGGAAAAGGGTCGGTTTATAAACCGCTCACGGAACAAGGCCCGGACCAGGTGGGTAATTTGGTACCTTTTAGAAAAAGATTAAGAAGTCAAAGATAAATTTTCTTCGACTTCAATTACAATTTGCTAAACTGGAATATGTAAATCTCATATATACCTGTATTGTATTTCTTTATATTTAATTGTAAATCTCAGAGATGCCAAGGTATCCAGGCTAATGTAGCTTAAGCTATCAAGCCAGCAAGTTGTCTTGGTTAGCCTAAAAGTTGACTAAGAACGTACTCAGCTTAGGCTGACAACAAATGGAAGCTTAGAAACATTGTCTTGATCATCATCATGTTTAACGATAACATGCATCATTGTCATCATTTATCTCTATAACACCAAATAAAACAACCGGGAAGTGTTTATACATGAAAGAAAATATAAATCGTAGTTCAAACATTTGGCCTAATATATTAAGTTTCACCATTGATTGATTGTTTTGGCCCTGTAACACAAAGAACTACAAAAAAATCTAATAAACTTATTTTGGACGAGAAAAAAGTTCTTTCAAGTGTTTGTGAATATTGTGTGAAGACTAGGCCCTAATTTTATAAATCAAGTATAATATCTTGTGTTAGATTTCACAATGGACCCATAATTTTGTAGTGGGCCCATTTTGCAGTACCATATTATGAAACATGGAAATGATACAAAACCATCATATATATATAGGCAAAAAAACGCTTCGCAGATGCCACACGATTTCAGAGTTGCCTCCATGCATAATGTGAAATATTTGGGGAAAAGGTGAAATATTGGTTAACTTTTTGATAAATGATACCGAAAATAACTATTTTGGTTTTTTATTTCTTAAATTAATAATTTAATAAAAAGGTAAGGGGACTTCATAAGAAAAAATATGTAAAACGAGAAAAAAGAATTATAAATAATACAAAGTGTGCATGGAGGCGACACTTGGCAAGTAGACATGTGTCCCATAGGCTATGTGGGAATGAGTTTCACTCCATTGTTTCAAAAGTTCACCCTTCTTAGGCTTGGAGGAGTGGACACGGTTTAACCACACAAAAGCCATGACGACCAAAGAAAACATCATCCGACCGCAGTTTCGAGTACGGTTTGACCGCACTTGGTAGTAGATGGTCACATTCAATTTTCAACCACTTTTCCTTTTTACCAATTTTCAACGGTCAAAATTTAATTTAATTTATTTTTTATTACCTACATATATCACCTCATAAATATTATTTTACCACACCTTCATTAAATTATCTTTCAACTTCTTTCTTTCAAAACTTTGAAAATGTCTTCTTCCAACAACTCAAACAATCAAAAAACACATACCAACCCCAAGGCTTCGTATGATCAACTGATTTATTCGCCCATGGTTTATCACTATGGTGGTATGCTACCGTATTATCCACACCAATTCTCGCAACCACAACAACTCCCACCACAATATGCACAACAATACTCCCAACCACAACCGCAAACACCAACACAACCACAAAATGATCCCGAGTTTAATCCGTTTGAGTTTCTGTCCCAACCAGAATTTGTTCAAAAACTCAAACACCCATTTCTGATTCTGAACCTGAGTTCTTTCGAGAAACCCAACCAACGCAAGCACCAAATAAAAGAAAAGAGAAGACGGTGGCTAAATGATGGGTACCCGAAGAAGTGTTATATTTGGCACAGTCATGGATCAATATTTCAGAAGATGCGAAGATAGGAAAAGACCAAAAACATGATCATTTTTTATTGCGAGTTACAAAAAGGTTCCACAAAGGAATAAAGTTTCCTGAGTATCATTCGAAACACCAAATTTACTCAAAATGGGGGAAGACAAACAAATAAGTCATGTTGTTTAATGATTTGTATACCAACATGAAACGTCAATGGAAAAGCGGAGAAAGCGATGAAGTGATTTTGCAGAAAGCTTTAAAAGTGTATAAAAAAGAAAACAAGAAGGCTTCCAAGTTTCTTGAAGTTTGGAATCTTGTAAACAGAAACCCTTTACACGATTAGTAGAATAACATCTGAGGAAGATCATTAAACTCCAAGTTCAAGAAACCGACCGAAATTGCAGGTTTCGAAGTGGAAGAGTCGCCAACGATTCGCCTGGGAATGTTTATCAGAGGTGCAGAGATGGTGGTGGGCAGTTGTCAATGACAGATCTGCGATGGTGGTCGGAGTTGAATGGACCAGAGGTGGTATGGTGACCTGGTGTGGTTTAGGAAGGCAAGTGGAAAAGGGGAAGGGAAGGGGAACGAGAAGATGTGGTTGGGAGCGCGTTGCGCAGGTGGCTGAGATTAAGTAGTTGGAGGTGAAAGCAGTGGGTGGTAGTGTGCCAGAAAAGGTGGGTGGTGGTGGAAAACGAGTACAATGAAAGAAAGGATGGAGGGGAACATATGGAGGTGGCTGATAGCTGCTGACCGGAGGTACGCAGGTGGAGGAAGTGATGCTCTTCTTTTTCTCTCTCTCAACAGCTCCGGCGGCGGCGGTGATGTAACACTCGGTTTAAGACTTGCTTCTTTATTTGGGGCTGCGGCCCAATCTTCAAATATCATAAGGCTTAGGGCCTTGGGAAGGGTAGGATTTGGTCCATTTCGGACGTGGGTGTCATAATATGAGTGATCCAAGTGTTCGATGTTGTCTTCGGAGGTCAAGGGTATAATCATAAATTGGTGTTCGGTCTTTTATGGATTTTGGGTTTTGTTCGGGAGGTTTTAAGGCTTGGGTGTGTCGTTAGAAGCGTAGGGCTTCTTGTTGGATTAGTGTCTAAGCCCGTAACTATTTTGGTATGTACTTGACCCGGTGTGCATGGTCCTTTTGGGTTGCCTTCACCAAAGCAACTTGATAGGATGATTTATGAAGAGAAAGGTTATTATGATTTATTAATATATTATATGAATAATATATTAAGAGAGAAATCATATTGTTTAATTAATATTAGTCAAGAATTAATAAGAATTAATTTTGTGGCTAAAAGACATTAATTAAATAAAGGGGACTAGAACTGTCAATTGTGTGATAGTTGGATATTGGGCTAATGGACTCCATAGAAGTTGGAGTGGACGAAATCTATGGGGAAACCCATTAGAATTTATCCAAGGCTTCTAAGGAGGGAGTCCATGGGCTGCTTAGGGCCTAAGCAGTCAGATTAGGGTTTCTTGGTTGAAAACCCTAATAGCCTAACTATATAAGGAACCCCTAAGGCCCCAAAAAACATGTGGAAGTAATCCCTAAGGGTTCTTAGACGTTTTGGTACCTCTCATCCTCTCTCCTCTTCATCATTTTCTTGCTCTTGGTGTTTGTGAGCCATTAGAGGTGTGACACTTGTGACACTAAGCTTCTTGAAGATCAAAGAACTCTTGTAACCATTGAAAGGTAAGATCTAAACCCTAATTTATATGTTAATTCGATTATTGTATGCTAGATCCAGGGTTTATAAGCTTTGGATGATTATTGCATGTTCATTAGACAAACTAGATCCAAAAGCTTTAGGGTTTAGCATGTACACCATAGGATTGTTGTAGTGCTCAAAACCCATCAGTGGTATCAGAGACTAGGCTGTTTGTTTGATGTATTTGATGCTTGTATGGTCATTCTTGACATGAAAATTGAATTTTTTGTCCTTTGCATGACTGACTCGGCGAGTCAGTGGATGAACTCGGCGAGTCTAGTCCCTGAATCGGCGAGTCCAGGGGTCAGACAGAGGATATTTCGGGATTTTTTCGGATTTTGGCTGATTGTGATGATAGATAATTACCATAAACGTTTTTTATTGATAAAATCCGACTTTTATTGATATTATGTGATTATCCTTGCCAAAATAGAAGATAATTGTCATTTAATTGAATTATTATTTCCTTATATGATAAAATTTGATTATTTGAATTATTTGATGAATTGTCTTGCAAGAAATTGGATTAGGTCAAATTTAGATAACCACCAATTAATTGTTTAATTGTTATTATTTGCAATTTGATCTAGAATGTTCTTGATAATGTTTTGAAAAGTTTCAAAACTTGCCCTCGAGTTTTGGAATTTAAATTTTTTATTAAAAAGTTTAATTTCGAAATATTTAAATTCTAAACCCTAATGTTTTGAAAAGTTTCAAAACTTGCCCTCAAGTTTTGGAATTGAAATATTGATTAAAAGTTTAATTTTGAAATATTAAATTCTAAAACCCTATTTTTTGAAAAAGTTCAAATTACGCCCTTATGGTTTTATTAAGTTAATTAAATGTATAATTAAAAGAGAGTTAATAAATCCATAATGATATGGTTTATATTTAATTAAATTAAAAGTATAATTTATTAAATTAAACTACCTAGTATTTTAAAAGTGTAAAATACACCCTTATACTATATATAAAATTAAAAGGTCTAATATTATATATGTATAAGTAAATGTCAGTCTTACCGTTAGTAGACCTCATTCACGAAGCTGGTCTCTAAGGGGTGTTTAAGGGAGCGGCCTGTAAAATGACCGTCATTTGGTATCCACTCTTACCCACCGCACTCTTGACTAGTGAAGAGTCGTTAGCCGAACGGGTAGGATAGGACGCAACCTTCCATTATAAGTATAATGAAGTACGAAGTAACTAAACACTTTTATAAATTCCCAAATCTTAGTTACTTTAGGAAAAATGTGGAGTTGGTGCTATTCCATGAAATTACACTTTGTACCCTTGCTAAGACGTTAGTGGAGTGTGTGTGGTTAACCGGCACACTAATTGGGCTCT